CTGAAACAACTTGGCTGACTGGGACACCAGGGTGAAGCTACAAAACTGCAGCTTTAGTACAGGTTCTTGCTGCCTTACAGCCATGTCCTGTTTCTTTGGTCACCGGTGACATCATTTAACCACGGTGGCTCAGTTTCTCCACCCGTAAAACACATGCACTAATACATACATAAACCCTGATTCCTAATGCTACGCGTCCCAAAAGAGTCTCAAGAAGCTGACTATATTTGAAGAGTGCTTTTTAACACCTAGCTGAAACATCCTTTTGACCCGTGAAATCCTTTCTGGATTAGATGGTACAAATCCTAAACCAAATTCATCGTGGCAATGTAACAACAACTGAGATGATAAAATAATCCGAAGAAAAAGCAATGCGAAGAGTCATCCTACTGCGAGTCTAGAGGAAATGGTAACCTTTTCCCCTTCACAGATCTGGGACAACAGTCCAGCTTTCCTCAGCTTTCAGATTAAAAAAACACAAACCCTCTAAGTATTGCACTTAAAGCTGCTTTTTTTTTTTTCTCTCAGTGAGCACTGCAAGTGTATGAAGTGTGAGTGCTTTTAAGTTTATCACTGTTTAAAAAAAAAAATTAAACAGATTTAAGAAGTTTTCAACTAATTGAACAAGTTAAACCGAGGTGCCCCCTGGCTTCTGTGATTGCCCTGTCGCCGTCATCATAACCACCATCTGTGGAACAGCAGCAATGGCAACACTAGCGGGATGGATCAGGAAGAAACAACCCTGCAAAGCATTTAATTGTACTCCCTTTGACATAACTGGGACTTCAGGCGGTGATTCCATTTGAAGCAGGACCAGGTCCAACTAGAAACTGGAATTTTTAAACTAGAAGACGGATGAGGCTGCACGCACACTCCTGCGTAAAGAGAGCTCCTCACACAAAAAACGTAGAAATATCTTTTTAATTGCAGTAGGAGGGCTTGACTGTAAATAAACTCTATTGCCTTTACTCCAGGCCAGCCCAGGATCAAGAGTAAGAAGGAATGGTGGCTATCCTAATGACATGGAAGCTTCGGACACCATACATGACGACCAATGTGACCAGGTAGATGCCACTTTATTGCACAACAACGACCAGTGTGACCAGGTAGATGCCACTTTATTGCACAGATAGCTCAGCTTTTATAGATAATTCCCAGGTGATGCCTTTATAGTGAACTATTATTAGCAGGTGATAACTAGTTACATGTTTTTATAGTTGGCTATTATTAGCTGTTTACACACACAGTCTTTTCTCTTTTTTTTTTTTAATTCTACTCAAGGTCTTTCTTATCAGTACATTCAGAAGACAGCTACTCCTTTTGTGCCAGCTTCATTAGTTTACAAATCACAACTTAACCGTTTAGTAACCTCGAGGCCTGCACTGTTGTCAAGGGCCTGGACTACTGTCAGAGGCCTATTGTCAACAGCTGCCCAGAGCTTGGGGTGCTCACAGGATGACCATTAATTTCTAAGAATTCTCCCACACTGTCCCACCTTTCCGCAGGGATGGGCTGGAAAGAAAGCTGCCATTTTACCTTTTGTGGCTCAGTTTTGCTGCTGTTGTCCTCAGAAGGATTGAAAAGGAGCCTGAAGCCTGAGTGCTGCAGCTGTGGGTGCTGCATGAGGCGAGCAATGGCGCTCAGGAGGTGGCCTGCAAGGAACCAGAGCACAAAGCAACGTCACTATGTGAAGGCTGGAGCCAGAGACACGGCTTTCAACATCATTCCTGCCAAGAATGTGCAAATATGGCCACGTCCAAACTGCTCCATGCGACCTTTTCTCCCTCTGTTCTGCCAAGAATGTGCAAATACGACCACGTCCAAACCAGTTAACTGCTCCTTAACTGCTCCATGCGACCTTTTCTCCCTCTGTTCGAAGAAGTGGAATTGTATTGCTTTGGAGGAGGTGAGTGGCATGGACCCCGTAAATGGCATTCTGCTACTCATCTTCACCATCAGAATTATTTCACCTAGTAAAGAATTTGCAACTCAGTGGAATTTGGGGAGAAAAAAAAATAATCATTTCATGCTTTGGGCATATTCAAAAGGGGAATTACACCTGTGCAGCCATGCTCAGTATTCATTTCTGGGGACATGCAACTTACCAGACACAGCAGAGCTTGATCCAGTATAAGCCAAAATGTAACCTTTCAAGCCACTGGTACCACATCAGTTTGTGAAGAGAATCGGGCTCCTTCGTCTATAGCATTTGTCCTGATGTCAAATTACTGGTTAGGAATTAGAGGGTAAAAAAAGGAATAATCAAGGTATGCCTCAGTGTATTTTAACAGAGACCATTTTGAGGAAATGCAAGCTTTACGCAGTTGAAGCTAAATGGATAAATAAACAGAACAGGCAGAGGAAAGTAAAAGCATGAAAATCTCAACGCCAGTGGGGATATGACCTAGGCTATGTGTGCTGTTGAGCAGTAAACAAATTAAAAACGGGAAGATCTTGCTGTATGAGTAAAGGCAAGTGGTTTCAGATAGTTCTGTAGTATTGGCAAAACCAAGGTCGGATATTGCGATGGCTGATTCACTTCCACAGGCTTCAGTGGCAGAACCAAGGGGACTGATTCATGAAGAGCACGCAAGAAGCGGCGCCAAAATGGAGCCGAGAAGGACATAAGGCAAGGTTGAACGGGTGGCCCTATTTGTTTGTCTTTTCATAATGCCAGAGCAACGGAAGATTAAATGAAATCAGAAGGCAACATATTTAAATTGACAATTACTTCTTCCGTGTTCCCTTTGGAAATCGAATAGCTCAAGAGCAATGATAGATTTTGTAGTGAATGCAAACAATAATCAGTAAAAGCACAAAATGTGTGTGTATGTACAAAGAGAACCTCCCCAATACCTACAGAGAGCACCGACCAGCCACCACGCTGCTGTCCCTGAGACATGCAGAGCTGTGTCCTTGCAGAGACAAGGGGCTGCTTTTATCAAGTTTGACCTGGTATATTCTTGCAGCCGCTCTACTAACGGAGAAGGCGCTAATTAATACGCACCTCATCTTTGCTTCAGTCTTAAAAAGGCAAAAATCGTGACAGATGCCAGGAAGAGCCAGAAGTTTCCCCAAGGGAGGGAAGGAAGTAATAAAATAAAATAAGAAATAAATAAATAAATCGCGACGAACGCTAGGATACAGAGTAAATAAATTAAAAAGATATAAAAACTGACAAAAACCTGGAGGCAGATACTAGCCACAGAGGCAGTTCCAAGAAACTGGCAAGAGATAAAGGAGGCACCCCAGGAAAGGAGGATGTCAATCCTTGCAGATAAGTTGCAACTGGATGTCGCACCGAGAGGAGGAGGGGAAAAAAACAACAAACAAACAACAAAAAAACCCCCAAACACCACCATCCAGGAAGACATCCTCGTTATTTAAACTGTAAAAAAAAAAAAAAAAAAAAACCCCAACCAAAAAAAAAAACCACACACCACCACCCACCCCCTAAACACACAACAACAACCAAACCAAAAACCGTCCCCCACCCACACAACATCCCACCACAAACCAATAACCTTGGGCACTAGAGCATGTCCTGAAGAGCCATGTCTACACGTTTCTTAAACACCTCCAGGGATGGTGACTCCACCACCTCCCTGGGCAGGCTGTTCCAATGCCTGACAACCCTTTCAGTAAAGAAATGTTTCCTAATATCCAACCTGAACTTCCCCTGGCGCCAACTTGAAGCCATTACCCCTTGTCCTATCGTCTGTAGCTTGGAAGAAGAGACCAACTCCCCCACACCCCACCAGAGCTCCCTCACTTTTTAAAAAAGTGTAGTAAATTAAGGTAAGGCTCGGGCTCAGTTTTTTGAGATATCGCCTCAAAATGGGGAGGGGGGGGAGTTTACCAGCCCCGGGATGGGGGGTGTTAAATATATTAATGATGATATTAACGTGATATTAACACACACACACACAGAGGGGTTGTTGGGGCTGGCGCTGCCCCCCCAGCCCGGTAGAAGGGGTGGGGGGGGGG